CAGAGAGAGAGTATCCAAATTAACAAAATCAAAAATGAATAGGGGGACATAACAACAGACAAGGAGGAAATCCAGAGAATTATCAGGTCATATTTCAAAAACCTGTACTCCACAAAATTGAAAAACTTAAAGGAAATGGTAACTTTCTGAATAAATATCACTTACCAAAATTACATTAAGACCAGGTAAGCAAATTAAATAGACCTATAACTGTTAAAGAAATAGAAACAGTCATCAAAAGTCTCCCAACCAAAAAAAAAAAAAAAAAGTCCAGGACCAGATGATTTCAGCTCAGAATTCTACAAATTTTCAAAGAAGAACTAAGACCAATACTCCTCAAATTGTTCCACACAATAGAAACAGAAGGAACATTGCCAAACTCTTTTTATGAGACTACAATTTCCCTGATACCCAAACCACATAAAGACATTACTAAGAAAGAGAATTACAGATCAATCTCACTCATGAACATTGATGCAAAAATACTAAATAAAATACTGGCAAATCGAATACAAGAACACATAAGAAAAATCGTCCACCGTGATCAAGTCGACTTCATCCCAGAGATGTAGGGATGTCTCAACATATGAAAATTTGTCAGTGTAATCCATCATATAAACAAGCCAAAAAATAAAAACCACATGATTATCTCATTAGATGCTGAAAAAAAAACCTTTGACCAAAAAACCAACATCCCATTATGATAATGGTCTTGGAGAGAGCAGGAATACAAGGAACATACCTAAACATAATAAAGGAAATATGCAGCAAACCAACAGACAACATCAAACTAAGTGGAGAGAAACTCACAGCGATCCCACTGAAATCAGGAAAAAGACAAGGTTGTCCGTTTTCTCCTTATCTATTCAATACAGTTCTTAAGGTCCTAGCTAGAGCAATAAGGCAACAAAAGGAGATCAAGAGAATACAAATCAGAAAAGAGGAAGGTAATCTCTCATTATTTGCTGATGATATGATAGTTTACATAAGTGATTCCAAAAATTCTACCAAGCAACGTCTACAACTCATAAACGTTTTTAGTAATGTAACAGGATACAAGATTAGCTAAAAAAAAAAAAAACCAGTAGCCCTATTTACACAGATATTAAATGGATTGAGAAAAATTCAGAGAAACATCACCCTTCACAATAGCCACAAACAGCATAAAATATTTGATCAGAGTAACTCTAACCAAACAAGTGGAAGACCTGTATGACAAGAATTTTAAATCTTTGAAGAAAGAAAGTGAAGAGGACATCGGAAAATGGAAAGATTTCCCATGCTCTTGGGTAGGTAGAATTAACATAGTAAAAATGGCAATCTTACCAAAAGCAATCTACAGATTCAATGCAATGCCCAGCAAAATCCAAGCAAAATTCTTCACAGACCTCGAAAAAAACAATACTCAACTTAATATGGAAAAACAAAAAACCCAGATAGCCAAAACAATCCTATACAATAAAGGAACTTCTGGAGGCATCATAATTCCTGACTTCAAGCTCTACTACAAAGCTACAGTACTGAAAACAGCCTGGTATTGGCATAAAAACAGACAGGAGGACCAATGGAACTGTATGGAAGTCCCAGATATCAATCCACAAATCAAAAAAAACCTACTTTTTGACAAAATAGCAAAAAATATAAAATGGAAAAAAGAAAGCATATTCAACCAATGGTACTGGTACAACTTGATATCAACATGTAGAAGAATGAAAATAGATCTATCACCATGCACAAAATTCAAGTGCAAATGGACCAAAGACTTCAACATAAAGCCAGCCACACTGAATGTCATAGAAGAGAAAGTGGGAAGTACACTTGAACGCATTGGCACAGGAGAGCTCCTCCTAACTGTAACCCCTGTAGCACAGACACTGAGAGAAACAATTAATAAATGAGACTTCCTGAAACTGTAAAGCAAACGACACAGTCAACAAGACAAAGCGACAGGCTACAGAATGGGTAAAGATCTTCACTAACTCCACATCAGACAGAGGTCTAATCTCCAAAACATACAAAGAACTCAAGACATTGGTCATCAAAAGAACAAATAATCCAATAAAAAAAAAATGGAGTACAGACCTAAACAAAGAACTCTCAACAGAGGAATCTAAAATGGCTGAAAGATACTTAAGGAAATACTCAGCATTCTTAACTATCAGAGAAATGCAAATCAAAACACCCCTGAGATTCCATCTTACACCTGTAATAATGACCAAGATCAAAAACACGGATGACAACTTATGCTGGAGAGGTTGTGGGGAAAAGGGAACACTCCTGCATTGCTGGCGGGAGTGAAAACTGCTACAGCCCTATGGATGTCAGAAAACTGGTGAGTTTTCAGAAAATTAGGAAACAACCTTCCTCAAGACCCAGCAATACCACTTTTGTGTATATATCCAAAGGATGCTCAATCGTACCACAAGAACATGTGTGCAACTATGATCATAGCTGCTTTGTTTGTCATAACCGGAACTTGGAAACAAATGCCCTCGGCTATAGATAAGGAAAATGTGGTATATTTACACAATGGAGTACTACACAGCAGAAAAAAATAATGGCATTTTGAAATTTGCAGGCAAATGAATGGATCTAGAAAACTTCATATTGAGTGAGGTAACCCAGACTCAGAAAGACAAATATCATATGTACTCACTCATTAGTGGCTTTTAGACATAAATCAAAGAAAATTAGCCTGCAATTCAGAATCCCAGAGAAGTTAGACAACAATTAGGACCCTAAGAGAGACATACATGGATCTAATCAACATGGAAAATAGAAAAAGACAAGATCTCCTGAGCAAACTGCGGGCATGGAGGATATGGGAGAGGGTGAAAGGGGAGGGGAAAGGTAGGGAGGGGAGCAAAATGTAGCACTCAATAAAAATCAATAAAAAATAGAATAATAGAATGAAGAACTAAACTTTGGCCCTCAGAAAAGTCCTCCTGTGTCTGTTTGTCTGTCCAGTAGTTCACCTGCTCTGCATCTCTTCAGTTTCTCTGACCTGCGAAAGACTTTCCATTCCTCAGCACCCAAGGTGAGTTCCTGACATGTTGAAGGTGTGTGTGTGTGTGTGCGTGTGTGTGTGTGTGTTGTTTCCCCCCTTCTCACCAGCACCAGAGAATTAAGTTTAACTCCCTCAGATAGAAAAGTCAAACTCTATGGCTCTGCAACTTCTCCCTGAGCTGCTCGAGGCTACAGCAGCGATAGACACAGGAGAAGTTGTAGGGAAGGGCAAGAAGGGGGAAGTAATGCAAATACAATACTTACATATGAAATTGCAATAAATAAAAATCAGTATTTCATCACTTTTGGTTCCATGTGTATGTCCATGTATGGGTCTGTGGAAGTGAGTACAGGTGCTTGTGGAAGCCAGAGAAAGGTCTTGGATCCTCAGAAACTGCAGTTACATGGTGTTGTGAGTTGTCCAACATGGGTGTAAAACTGAACTGGGGTCCTCTGCAAGAACGATAGGTGAACCATCTCTGCAGCCCTTACTTTATGTATTTGTAAAATCTAATGGTATTTGTTATTTAGCTAGCATTAGTATACAAACCACTTCTAGTATACAGCAGGATAACAATACACATCTTGACACAAACATGCTAGGAGTGTGTCCCTATTGTCCTGGTTCACTTTGCTAGGGAAATGTTTTATAGTAAGTAAATATTTTATGTATTAACTGGAAATCTCTTTGTCGTTGTTTCCTTCAAAGATAAATAAAGTACATGGTCACTTTTCTTTAAAACTCTCTTTTTATGGAGGGAAAGGCACAGAAGTAGGAGTCTGCCTGTGAGCCCCAACATGAATACTGCTCTATGGTTTATGTGGGCAACGGAGAATTTAGTAACTTCCATAGAGAAAAAAAAAGGCCAGTTTTTAACATGAACTTGATGCATATTTTCATCTCTGGCAGCATGGACTGATAAAACACATAACATTAAAAAATAATGGGCTTTTAGGCCCATTTAACAACCATGGTCAGGTACGTATTTGGCTTCATAGTTATAGGGCAGGCAATGAAAGTGGCAGCCAGCATTGAAATCACTCCAGAAGGCTCCCTGGGTCCATCTCCTCATTCCAGCGGCTCAGTGTGAGCCCAGCTCATTCCAGCAATGGCCAGCCCTCCCAGTACTCACAGGAGGGCACCCTGCACTTCCTTACCTCCACATTTATTTTTGTTTTTCTTCTTTTGAGGCCCTATGGTTGTTTTTTTTTTCTCATCCCTCCTTCTAGAATTTCCCCAGCCACATTGTTCTCAATGTCTGTCCCTCACTATTCCTTCCTCAAGGGCTTCTCTTACTGTAACGCTGCTTTTAAACGTGAATGGGGACAGAATCAAAAGAGACTCTGTAACCTCTGTGCCTTCTGACTTGAGTAAGTTTATTTCCTGCCCTCCAATCAGGGGGTCCCTATGAAGAGGTGACACTGTGATTGATATCAGTTGATATCAACTAAACTAGATTTTACTCTTGGCCTTGAACTTGAAGACAGCAAGCTGGATAAAAAAAAAAAAAGATAAAAAAATAAAAAAAGAAAAAACAAAGAAAAACATAACAAAATCAGAGCTCTATGTTAAGCAGGGGATACAAAATGCAAAATGACACCAAATTGGAAATGCTCAGGCTCTCTTAAGTAGTTTTGGAGGACACAAAGATGAACTCAAGGAGTTCATCTTCCAGGCTGTTTTATGAAGAACTGAGACCTGGGAAAGTTCTGCTGCTTTCTCTCTCCCCCTTGGGTGGGTGGGTTCCTAGACCAGCCTTCCAGGCAGCTCCTTAGCTGTAAACCTGCCCTCCAGCCAGGGGAGCCCAACCTAGACCTAAATTCCTGCTTGGTAAAGCAGGAACCTAATGGGCGTGTTCTCAGGGCAGGCAAGCGCTCACTGGGCGTGGCTTTGGGAGGCAGTGGGGCGTGACTTAGGGTCAATGGGCGGGGAGAAGGCTAGCGGAAAAGGCGAAGCGGGAGGGAGGGGGACAATTAAGGGGGAGGGGAAAGCCGACCTAGCTCAAGTTCCCAGGGGAGCAGGCAACGCACGGCAGAAGAAAGGAAACTTCGGAGCTGGTGCAGGAGCTGTGGGCCGGGTAAAAAAGGTGGGGACAGAGGCCTGGAAGTCGGGACTCGCCTTGAAAGGAGGCACGTGGAGCCCCGGGCAGAAAAGCTACTCTGTGGCTCCGCCACTTTTCTCTGAAGGTCTCCTGAGAGGTTTCAAAGACTAGGGGGCCTGACTTCAGGTGCCCCGACCTTGGAGAGATGGCCTGGATTTAGAGGGCGCTGATCTCCCCAAGTTTCAAGTCTCCCAAAGTCTTATTTGAAAGCTCACGACCCTCGGCGGGTCCTGCTCTTTGCTTGCTCGGTTCGAGTTGACTGCTGTGCTCTAGGGACCTGCTGGGGCAGTTGTGCCGGAAAGGGAGGGGGAAATGGAAGCTGGAGGCCTCCGTTCCTTGCTCGGGTTTCTTTAACAAGCTTTGACATCAGAACCCTCAGCCTGGAGCCTTTACCTTCTTGTACATACATTCCAGCACTTAAGTGCGTCTCCTTAAATCTCTTAGCGAAGTTTATGCAGCCCTGCTATTGAGTGGTGGTTATAATGATGCCTTGGGCATAGTGATACCTGCCAGGGAGAACATCTTCAAATCTCTACCGACATAGAGGAAGTTGAGAAGCGCTTAATACCTGGCCTTAAGTTTCATTTATTCATTGCTACAGAAAAGGAACCTTTGTAAGAAAAGGTCCGGGACTAGACACTCATTTGGTTCATTCCTTTACAGTTTACATAGAGAAAAAGGATGTCCAGAAGTTATCTTTGAGGTGTGTTAACAGCTCCCTTCAAAGAAAAGAAAAAGAAACAAGGAAGAAAGAGAAATCAGGAAAGGAAGAAAACCACAGTACACATTGAAAAGAAATATTTCTTACAATTTCTGACTGTTAATGGGTCAGATAACGATTTTCAAAAAGATAATTTGAATTCCAGATTCACCAAGTGTGTCTTTATGAAATTATGTTTTCATTTGTGGAGGCTGGATGTTGCTTTAGAGTTATCAAAGTTACAAAAGCCTATATAGTATTGGAATAAAAGAGCAAATGGATTTTTTATTTCTATTCCAGGATTCTGAATCCTAGGGATGTTCAAGTGCTTGGTTTTTTGACATTTAGTGAAAGTTAGCTACTAGGGGTGGTACCTGAATTCTACACTCTGATCCATCACACAGCCTTGTCAGTTAGCTTCTTGAGTATGGATGAGCCGATTGAGCACAGAATGTTCGAGCCGTGCTGCTAGAAGGTGTTAGGAGGGGGTCTGTTTTTCTAAACCAAAGTATATGCTCTCCCTTAGACTGTTTCCACCTTATATATTATAGTCTTGTCCCACCTCCAACAGAGACTTAGGTCATTCATGATCTGGAAGACAGCATAAGAATCAATTCCGGTGGCCTGGTCTGGTGGTATACACCTGCACAAGCTACTCACGAGGCTAAGGTAGGAGGATTTCAAGTTTCAAGCCAGCTTGGGCTACAGAGTAAGGACCTGTGTTAAAATAGAAAAACTAAACAGGGACTGGGACTTAAGCTCAGTGACACAGTGCTTGCCTGGCATGCACAAGGCCTTTTGTCCAACCCTCAACAATAATAAGAAAAATAAATTCATTTCAAAGAGAGAGAAAGTAGCTGCGGGTTGGAAGAACTTGGGCCTAGAATGAGTCTGTCTCCAGCTCTCTAGTCCCAGAGCTTTGTAGAAGTTACTTAGGTTTCCTAGGGGCATCGAGGTCATTGATCTCTGAATCTTGACTCAACCTAACAATCCATGGATTTATGAAAATAAGACACTGCTTTTAGTTAATGATATTTTGGTCACATCTGGTGTTGAAATTACAAGGTGGTCAGGAAGGGTTACTTTATTCAATCAATAAATATGTACTCGGCGCTTGAGTACTCTCGGGAACTGTAATGAGAGCAGGACAAATAAAGACACCAGATTCTTAAGATTATGTTCTGTTTGGGAGTGAAGGAGCCAGCAAGCAAATTAATCTACAGATACAAATTATAAGTGGGGGAGGGGCTGGGATAGATACTGATGGAGAGGGTGCTGGCTGGATTTGGTGATGGAGATGGCTCACCAGTTTAAATCCTGATGTAGGAAGACAAGAAGGACCTAAAGATAAGTGTTTCACTGACACTTTGTAGGGCAGGGGAGACATGAAAGATGCGTTCTAGGGACTTCTGGAAGGTTTCAGTGTCCAGTTCAAGATGAAGTTGGAGATCTGGTTGGGAGAGGTTATGTTGGGATTTCTGCCATTTGGAAAGGACTGTTGCTTTCAGTACAGGAAACAAGATTGACACAAAGATGGGTGTGATGAAACCCAATCACAAGCTGAGAACAAGGCTGTGACATCAGTGGCAGTGGAGGCAGAGAAAGGAAGTCACATAATCAGCGCATCTTTCCGATGTGTACCATTTGACTTAGTATTCGTTGTATTCATACTCTCTTCCCCCCATTGCTAACTCCCAGACAGCACACTGTGTTTATAACTTTGTTATTTATTCCCTCTTATAAGAATGTCTTGTACTTGAGGACTGAAATGTGTCAGAGAGACAGGATCTCCGTATGTAGCCACTGATGGTTTGGTACTTTGCTATGTATCCCAAGCTAGCCTCAAGCTTGAGTCTCCTTCCTGTGTTCTATGAGCTGGAATTTCAGGTATGTGCCACCACAGGGAGCCAAGGTACTGGGTCTTATGCCTGTTGCCTCTGCCACTGTTTCCCCCAGGGCTGATGCTCTGCTGTATGTGAATTAGACTCTTCAGGATTTGCTGAAGGGCTGGGCTTTTTGAGTACCTCAGAGCTGGATTCCATTGACCTTGCTGTTGAATGTAGGTGTGACAGAAAAGGGGAGAATCAAAGGTGAGTCTCAGTTTGCGAGCTTGAAAACTGACAAGTCGGGCTAGGAATTGCTAAAAAAGCAGGAACAATTGGGGAAAAGATAGAAGAGAAGTTCTATGTGGTAATATGTGGGTTTCATCTTTTCTTGTTTGTCCAAATACCTGACAAGAAGCAATGTAAAGGAAGATGCTTTTTTGCGAGTGGGTGGGGGCTCACAGTTTGTGGGTTCAGTCCATCATGACAGCGAAGGCATGGCGGTAGGAGCATGAGGTAACTGGTTATGTTGTGGTCACTGTGAAGAAGTAGGAAGTTGAATGCTGGTGTCAGCTGGCTCTCCCCTTTCTTCCTTTTACCCACACAGTCCAGGATCATAGCCCATGAGATGCTGCTGCCCACACTTGAGGCAGGCTTTCCCATCAGTTATTCTCCTGTGGAGACACCATCCCAGAGCAAGATTAAGATGAAGGAGATTAATTAAGCTCCATTTTGCCTTCTGAGAAGGAGTTAATTTTACCGTTGCTGCAATAAGACACCGTGGCAATGATAGCTGGGGTTCTTTTGGCTCAGAGTTTAGGATAATTTTTTTTTTTGTATCCTGGTGAAGCAGTCATGGCAGCCGGAGCCTGAGGCAGCCGGTTACACCGCAACTACAGTCAGGAAGCAGACAATGATGTCGGTGCTCAACCGGCTTCCTTCTTATATAGCCAGCATCCCAGTCAAGGGAGTGGTAACACTTGTAAGGTGAGTCATCCCACGGCAGTTTACCTAATCCAAATAATTTTGTACAGGCATGGCAGACGACTAATTGGATCAAGATAATTCCTTGTAGGTGTTCCTGAAGCCTTACCTTCTAACCAAGTCTCCATTCTTGTCAAAATGACAATCACACAAACCGTTACATGGTGTGGACATATGAAGTGGTCTAGGAATACACTTTGGTTGCCTTTATTTCAGAGACCGGAGAATTTGTTGGCGCATCCTCACTTGGGCTGCCTTACAGACTCTAGGAGGTCTGAGTACCATGTGTCCAGGAATTTCTGCGTCCTATTCACCAGATAATCTGAGAGCCGCGTGGAAGGTGCTGTACAGGGCTTTTATAATTTTTTTAAGTAGTATCCATTTCGCTGTTGGGGGGATGTCAGGCACACTGTATCCCACAGTGCCCCAGTCAGCTTCACGGTTTTAAACAAAGATAAAAAGAATAGCAGATCGATGATTTTCAACCTGAGGGTCGCAACCCCTTTGGGTCACAGGGGTCATCTAAGACCATCAGAAAACACCGATATTTACATTACAATTCATAACAGTAACAAAATTACAGTTTTGAAGTAGCAGTGAAAGTAATTTTATAGTTGGGGTCACCACAACATGATAAACCCTGTTAAAGCATTATCACAGCATTAACAAGGTTGAGAACCACTGCTTCAGATGCTTAATTACAGTCTGCAAGCACAGCCAGGGGCAAATACATGCAGACTCAATACCCAGAAAGGGTGGCAATCAAGATTCCCATTTTTATTTGGATAAAAAGGGTATGTGCGTATGTGCGCACGTGCGTGTGTGTGCTTGTGTATTGTGTGCTGCCAACTTTTCCAATATGGAGAAATGATCATGGATGAGTTGTGAAAAGACATTCCTTCCCAAATGCAGTTATCAGTGAATGCATTTCCAGAATTGATTTGTCACCAAAGGACGTTTGAAATGAATCATGCCTATTTACCATTGACTAATATTTTTTTCATACGGCTTAAAGGGCATTTAAAATACAATTTCCTGACTATCTTACTTAGCTATCAGAGAATCAGATTTGGGCTTTGCTCACTGAATCCTGTAGGCATCGTGCTCTCTTTGATGGTGACTTAAACGGAAGGAAAGCAAGGAACATTTTGCTTTGGGCAGAACCAGGATACGTTCTGAGGGGTGCGCCAGCTATAAATCCAGCCTCCCTAGAGGTTAACAATCAACGGTCTCCCCTCCTTTTACTCAGACGAGTAATATGATGATGATAAATCGCTTGGGCATGACTGCCCCGAGCACTGGTGTGATGAATTATGTTGTTCAGGGCATGACCAAAGATTCTCGATTGTCAGTCTGTGATACTCAGTATTGACAATATTCATACATAGCCTTCTGCCAATTTTTATCTCTGCTTTGCATATTAAATTCTCTGTCGACAGGCCGTGACTCTTGGCTCTTAGGCAGCTCTGTTCTTTTGA